CCCTCCTCCCTACCTCCCCCTCATCTGAGCTTCCGCTTGGAATATTCTGAACATCTCCTTGGCAATGCGTTTTGGTAGAATCACATGACGGTACTCATACTTGTCATCAACGTACCTTATACGTGACTTTTGCGCATGTATTGGTGATGACAATGAGGAAAATGGTTTCTCTACACTTCTACTCGAATTCGTATATAAACTCCTATAGTTAGTGAAGAAACTCTTGAGCTCAGCTGAGGAGAACATGTACATGGTCAACTACAGGTGCTAGGGAAATTCTTATTAGTTTCTGTACACTTCTATGCGAATTCATATATGAACTCCCAAGCTCAGCTGAGAAAGACACCCATATATTCCTCCAACACTAGCGAGTATTTCACGTAAAATCAATTCATAAATTTACCCGAATTCATCTATAAACTCCTGAGCTCAGCTGAGGAAAGCAAACATATATTCACAACAAATAGCATTCCCACTCACTTGTCACTGTACTCCACTTCGTCAGGATAGTGCGGCATACTTCTCAACAGAAATGAAAAAATTACCCTAATAATTTCGTGGCGCGTGACGGAATAACTCAACACACTTTAATGACAGTTTACTGTGAATAATACGTAGCCATTATCATCCCAGTTTCGTGCCTCGAGTCATTTCAAGTTGTGGTGAATCTTCCAACACGTCAAAGTCAATTTCCTCATCTTCATCGGCGTCCTTTTTCTCCTCTTTACTCTTCAACGGACTGAAAATTTCATGAGAAAATTTGCCCACTTCTCACAAAGAAAAAAATAAAATCCTAAAACTATTTTTCGAAATTTCTGCAATTTGAAACGGATCAAAAACTCCCTCAACGAAGTTTCCTCAATTTTTCCAACTCTCGGAAAATCCAAATAAAAGAAGCCTGTCCGGTTGCATAAAATTCGCCGTGCGCGAGATACCACAATTCCCCCCTCTCCTACCCAGCGCTCAGCAGAACATACGACTTCGATGAGTGCGCAAACTTGATCAAATCCCCTTCTCGCAATTCATAGTACTTCGCCGCTGGCACTCTTTTCTCATTCACAAACGTGCCTAGTTGAATGGAGTTTCACCACCACCCTAGTGATATGAAAAACATATTCACGACTACTGCATATCACCGCGAATAT